TTAACTATATTATTTGCATTTTACTGTTCCCATAAATGTAAATAATTGTTCAAAATGTGACTTTGTAAAAACATAAAACATTTAAGGAAAAAGCAAAACAAAAAACACAATATAAACATAGAAAACACTCACATATTAAACAGATGTAAATAAACGAAAAATTAAGAAACACTTTTATACCTACATTATTAATTTCTTTAAACGTGTTCAGGCATGATATTACACTGTTGACTACCAATAAATAATATTATTAAATATATACAACGGCATCTGCAATCTTATACCTATCAATATTGTTGTACATACAGTACGTGATCAATAACGGTCTCTCTTTTTTTTTCAAAGCATTTTTTATCTTGATGATGACCTCAGCAGGTCAAAACGCTGTTACTTGTTTTTTTTCTTAAGATTTTAATACCCATGTCAATCGTTTCTGCTATAGAAAGTATCCTTTAGTAAATAGTTATTATAAGTTATTATATAGGCAATAGCAATTGTGCGAAATCACGCAGAATATCGGTGTCAAGCTATTCCATTCGAGAGATAACGAGATTATAACACAAGATAGTTAGCGTTTAACCATTTTTAGGGGAGTGTGAATCATTTACCATTACGAAATAAGTTTAATATTTTGATCAAAATATTATAAGTTTCACCATACACTGTATGTGCTGTTATACTTCCTATATTACCACCCAAATTAATTATATTTCATTAACCGAAAAGGTGTTATGAAAGAAAAAATAAGTTACCAACAATGCAACAGCGAAATGGCTTCGAGAATGTCTTCTATATTATTATTTCATGACAATTATATTTTTCAGTGCTGTTTTTTTTTCTGAATTATCTTATTACGACAAACTACCAATCTTCAGATTAATATTTGTATAAGAAAAACGTAACAATTGATCCTGTTAAGAAACAAATTTGATTAGCATTCGTCTAAAAACACCAGAGTCACTCTGTTAATCACTGGTAGTCTCAAATTATCCCGCGAGATCTCGAAGAAGCGAATAACTACGATGTTGGTACCTGTCTGTGCGTATGAATAGTGGTGAAACTAATTTCCTCTGAAATAAATCTGAGAGAAAAAGAGTTAGTTACTTCAGCTGCCAGCCTCGTTTTTGCCATCTTTTAAATAAAAGCCATCTGGCAAAGTGAAGCAAACGCTTACTTTTCACTTTTAATTACCATTCTACATGTTTAGACGAAATAGAAAAAAATATATTGTTACGTCTCCGTTTGTTAATTAACTTTCCGAAACTTCGTTCCGACGAAACTTTAGCGACACAAGTCCTTACTTAATAAAACTGGTTTATTCTTTCCCAATATAACTTTACGATACACTCAACTTCAACAGTCGCGCTATAACAAACTATAATAACGACGTTAAC